GAGTGAGTGAGTGTGTGTGTGTGTGAGTGTGTGAGTGTGTGTGTGTGTTTATTTGTCATTCATGTGTTGTCTTGTGGTTATCCTGTTGGTTATTGTTGGACGCCCGCAACTCATTTTTGCTTATGCTATGTTGCTTTGGTTTGGTGGATATCCCAGTGCTTTCAGGTTATGCTATGTATTCATGCTGTCCCGTAGTTGTTTCTACTTTTGCGATTGGCGCTTATACTTGCCTTTTTGTTTGTTATGTGAGATGGCTATCATTGTGTGTGTGTGTTTTTTGTCCGTGGTGGTGGGCGGAGTTTAAGTTGTGGGGTTCATGGCTCCCGGGTGTTGTTGAAGGACCGTCCTTGACTTGAGTTGCCAAAACAGCATAGAAGCCTGAGTAATTAGAAATACTATTGCTGGGGGCTCCTCATAACGAGCATGGTGAACCATAGCCCAGAACCCTTTTCTACTTGGATAGAAAGGCCCCTATTCTATGGAAAGCATAGCCACCTCGACAGGTGAATCTAAGTAGATCCGCTGCACAACGGAACCAAAACAGTGTGCCTGGCAGCACCATAGGTTACGCTTCCCTCGCTAAAACCATTACACCCTAAACCCTAAACCCTAAACCCTAAACCCTAAACCCTAAACCATTACACCCTAAACCCTCAACCATAAAACCCTAAAGCCCGACCTTTACAAAGACTGAGGGGCCCCGAAGCCCCCAAGCTTAATGTAGAGGCGCGAGTTGTGTATACGGAAAAGTCTTATATGTACCTATCCCAAAGGCTCCATGTACCTTTATAGAAGGTACTTAGGCCTTAAAGGGGTCTCTATATAGGTACTTTAAGGCTTAAGTATCTACTATATGGGTACATGGAGCCTCAGGGCTATATAGTAGAACGTAGGATTTCTATATTATGTATGACCATTATTACGGACTTAGAGAAGTATCCCCCAGAACAGTACATAGGACCCTTTGGGAGAATACGGGACAAAGGGTAGTATTACGAATTGCTTGGAGGAACCCTAAACCCTAAACCCATTACCTTGACCGGCCCCGATGTTCCGCTCCGGAGACTTCCATTTGCAACAGTGCACACAACATCCCCTTCCCAGGGAGCCCAAGACCCCTTAGTTAAGTTTAAGGAATATAGCTTAAATCATCAGATGAAGCTCCTTATAAAGTTCAAGGTATAATCCTTTAATGAAGAGGTATTGGGCTCTCTGGGTTATGGCCTGACCGACTGCAGCTTAGGGTTTAACTTGGTAAAAGCGATGCGGGTTTAGGCTTTCAGAGCTTAGCGTGGTTTGGGGTTACCCTTAAAACCTTGCACCCTAAATCGAGGACCCTAAACCCTACCTAAACCCGAAAAAAGCCCGTTTTTCTCAGCTCAGAGCCAAGATTTGGCTTTGAGGCCATGGGTAACCGGCAGACGGACATCCGGACCGGCGTCCTAAAGCAGAGGTGCCCTGTTAAGGTTTGAGAGTCGGGGTCCGGGGTTTAGAGTTTCGGTTGGGGTTTGAAGGTTTAGGGGTTTTCGGGTTTAGGGTTCAGCGGTTTTTGGGTTTAGGGTTTAGGAAGTTTAGGGTTTGGTTGCGAGGTTTTCGGCAGGCCTTGAGCCTATTCTATGGTTCGGATCCGATGATAAAGCAGTATTAGGGTTTAGGGTTTAGGGTTTAGGGTTTAGGGCTTAGGGTTTAGGGTTATGGTAACCGTGTATGTTTAGACCACTGAAATGAGAGTCTTGGGAGACTGGTGGGAGTCTCCGGGGAACGCGTTGAATCAGTGAGGGAGGGAAGGAAGATGAGGAGCCAAACTCCTACGTTTCAAGGGTTTAGGGTTTAGGCTTTAGGCTTTAGGGTTTAGGGTTTAGGGTTTAGGGTTTAGGTATACCAGGAAGGCATCTTAAATAGCACGAAGACAGCAGTTTATTTGGGGGCTAGGATACAGTATGTATTGTATATCGCAGCCCTCATAGAAACCAGCTGAGCCACTAAAGCCACTAACTTCCTAAACCCCTATACCCTTAAACCCTAAACCCTGAACCTCAAAACACCAGCGAGCACGTGAGGCTGAAGAAGGATGGCACCCCCGTCGGCGAGGTTGTCAACAATGTGCCTCGAAACCAGAAGTCTCGTGCGGGTTTAGGGTTTAGCGTTTAGGATAAGGGATCTGGGCCGCAATCTAGCTAGAGTTTTGGGTTTAGGGTTTAGGATACATCTTAGGATAAGGGATCTTGGCCGCAATCTAGCTAGATCTAGCTAGGGTTTGGGGCGTAGGGAAGTATAGGGCCCTGGGAGTTAAGGGAAGTCATGGTTGAGAACTTACGGCTTCCTCACTAGGTGTGCGTCCACAGACGAGTTATTACCCATAGACCCTAAAGTAGTTCCCTTTTGTGGTTTGTATTTAGGATCCTATTAGGTAATCCCAAAAAGGAACTATTATGGGGCCTATGGGTAAACCCTAAACCCCATAAACCCTAAAACGGATCGTAAACACCGGAGCGGGCCGTTGCTCATTGGATTTTGGACGCAGGATTCTGCAGCCAGGCTCATCCACTCCCTCCGCCAGAAGCCCGAAGCCCAATCAACAACCCTGAACCCTTGAGGGCTAACAGGATCCTTGTTGAACAGTCCGGGCTCTATACCCTTCACTCTGAATCCTTGTCTTGAACCTTACACTAAGGGTCCATGTACCCAAGTAGTATGCACTTTGGCCTTAAAGTAGTCCCTATATAGGTACATTGGGGCCAAAGTATGTACTATTTGGGTAAACCCTAAACCCTAAACCCTAAACCCTAACCCTAAACCCTTAAAGATCATCAAGGCCCCTACATTTCTTATTTGGGGTACTATTTGGGTACATGGACCCTTAGGGTCACACACTTTTCGGCTTCATTTTGACCCTTATTTGATGTAAACCGCACAAACTCCGAAAGCCAACACCGAAGCTCTTCGTTATCAACCCGAAACCCTAATGGAGGGGCCTTAATAATTAGAATAGGGCTTCGGGGTATATTATACTAGAATTAGTTTACGGAACCCCCCGCAAAAATATTATAGGTTATTATGTAGGCCTCTATAGTAAGCCCTAAACCCTAGATCTCAATCCTAAACCTTCCGTTCCGAAAGCCAGAAGCTCATGATCGCCAGCTTGAGAGGATCCCAAGACCGCCAAGATCATGGCGGCTGCGTAGCTTCCCTGCATTTTCGGCTTCTTTTCAACATGGGCATGTTTCGATTGTTTACAATTTAGGGCTTAGTGCATACCGGGGTTTAGGGCTTATGTTGTTGCCAGGGCTTTGATGCAGGATGTCATCGCAGTTGTCTTTTTGTGAGTGCCGGGGCTGTGTCGTAGGATGCGCGAACCCTGCAGAAGGGCGACCCTACTGCACGGGGTCGAGCCTGCAGACCATGTAAGGCATGTGCTCCAGGGTTCGAAGCTATACGGCTGTGAAGCCTGCGGGGGGTCAGAATTTCAATTGCAGTTGTCTGAAGATTCAGAATCTTCAGATAGCAGAAAATCCTAGGTAGGATTAGGGAGACCCCTGAAAGGGGACACTTCTTGACCCTACTTACTTGTGGCTCTCTTAAAAGGGACCATAATGAGAGGGTCTATAGTCTATATTTCTAAGGGTCCCCCTAATCCTAACTCCAAAGAAGGAGCTTCCTTTGGCGCGCCCAGGTCAAATCCCAGTATCCGCAACGATACCGGCAACGTTACCTGTGGGGCTGCTAGACAGCAGGCAGCTACAAGTAACCTCAGGGCATGAAATCGCTGTTTACGGATTGCAATGTAAACCCTAAGCCCTACAACCTAAACCCTAACCAAAGCCCTAAACCCATCGATCCGGGTGACGATGTTCAATCTGAGCTCTGAAGTGTTGGAGCCACGCAACAGAAGCGACTCTTTTCGTGTTTGGGATTTAGGGTGTAGGGGTTCCAGCTTCTTTGGTTCAGGACTTAATGCAGGGGCTTTACTAATTAGAATAGGGTTTTGGGGTATATTCTACTATAATTATGATAAGGACCCCCCCCTCAAAACAAATATATATATATATATATAGATATTTAGGGTTTAGAGGGCGTCAGAGTTTACGGTTTAGGGTTAGATAGTCTCGCTGAGCCTACCCGCCCGAAGCCAACACGTGCGACAAGGACTGCTATGGCGCTTTGCCGGACGGAGAGTGCTGCAACACTTGCTCCGACGTGCTTTATGCAACTTTGGCCGCGCGTCAAGTGGCAGGTGTGAGAGACAATGAGGTGAAACCCCGCATGGACGGGCGTATCAGTCTTGGTCCCTCGTCATAGGCCCACGAAGCCATGTGTGATTGTTGGAGCAAGGGCCTCTCAGCCTTGAAGCCGCGACACAGGCGAGTATAGATTCAGGGTAATCTTCCAAATACTGTAACTTTTAATGATAATATATATATATATATATTATGTGTATGTATATATATATATATATATATGATATTAATATTTTGAAAATATAATGTTGGAGTCAGGAGGGTGCAGCTCAAGGACTGGGTGTTCCCCTGCTGCTTTTCGCTCGCTTGCATGCTCACGGGGTATTCGGGGCCAAGGCATATCGCATGAAGCGATGGGCACTCCCACGAATAGTGCCTCGGATGCAACACAGTGCAAAGTTTGGTTTCCATGTCGCGTGGGATGCTACTGCTGTTATCGTTCAGCATCGGCGAAGCTCGGGAGGGGAATTGGCAGCACACCGTAGCAGCAAGTCCACCCTAAACTCTAAACTCCCTAAGGGTCCACGTGCCCAAATAGTATGTGAAAGTAGTCCCGATATAAGTACATTGGGGCCAAAGTATGTACTATTTAGGTACATGGACCCTTGGGGTAAACCCTAAACCCTAAACCCCTAAACCCTAGTCCACTGCAAGAAAAGCCCACTGAGAGCACACCCTGAACCCCTAAACCCGAAGCCACTCAGAAAAAACACCTAGGGTTTAGGGGTTCAGGTTTTGGGTTTAGGGTTTTTCAAAGCCCAAACCTCAAGCCAAACGTCTTAACCGTAAACCCTATTAAATTCCTGCATCTGAGGAGAGTATCAAGCAGTGCCAGCAGGATGGCACATCAAAGTCTTCGCGCCTCCTCTGCTGCTGAGTGTTCAGTGTTTAAGGTAGGGGCCTTTTAAGAGGGGCTGTCAGGGTTGCGAAGGTTTAGGGGCTACGCGTCTAAGGGCTTTGGGATTAGGGTTTCAGAGTAATTATAGGTTAGGGGCCGAAATAATTACCTTTATCGTTTTAGGGGCAACTTATATTATCATTATAGTATAATGGGCCCCAAAGCCCTATTCCAATTATTAAGGCCCCTACGTTAGGTGTAGCGTTCAGGGTTCAGGGTGCCGGGCTTTTGGCTTTTTGTTTTGGGAGTTTAGGGTCAGGGTTTCCGGGCTTCAGGTTCTGGGATTTGGGGTTTGGGGTTTGGGGTTGCGGTTTAGGGTTTAGGTTTTAGGGTTTAGGGTTTAGGGTTTAGGGTGTAAAGGACGAGGTTCAGGGTGCAGGGGTTGGCATCTTCGAAGTGCGCAGCATCGGTTGCTGGTTGTAGGTGTAGTGAGGCGACCGTGGGGGTTGTGGTGGCAGTGGCGGTGTCAGTGGCGGGTGGTGGGTGGTGGTGGTCCTTGATGTGTCCAGTAATCAAGGGCAATGTCTGAAACCCTGTAATTTATTAAGGCTCCGTTATTGGGTTCCTACAAGCATTACAGCAAGCATTACTACTTTTGCGGTGCTGAGATTTTAGGTTTAGGGCCCGCAAGCTGTGCATGCTGAAACGCTTGTTCGCTTGTCCTTGCTTAGGTACCAGCCGCCGCAGATTGCGCGACTGCAGGACACTCAAAATTGTGTCCCCCCTCACCTTCGACTCGTCAAACTGACACGGTGCAGGAAGGCAGCATATGTCTAACATACAGGCCTTATTGATTATGTTGTAGTATAAGAATAGTACTGCTAGTCGTTTAGGCTTCTAGATTGTCTTTGGCGGTCTTGATTTTGAGAACATCGTGTGGCATCCCCATGGACCTTAGCAGCACTTGCGTAGGTAAAGGATGCGGGAAGTGGCACTTCTGCATCCTTAGATGACTCTGATATATGAGGGTCGAAACCTGCTGGTCCGTATGCAAGTCTGACTATCATATGTCCCAGCAATCAACATTATCAGCCTCTATATCGGACGTGCTCCTAAGCTGTAAGGTCTCGGCCAAGAAACGACTTTGCCTTTGCCTTCCGGTATAATCTGAGCTTGCTTGGTAGCACTGGTGGCAGCTCTACAGCGGAAGCAGGAGACCTCGACGCTGCTAGAGAATCTACTAGTATGAACCGAACCAAAAGCAATGACACTTGGGTTGTACTAGCAATAGCAAAAATGCCAAACCAGATTGCAGGTCTTGTGATCGCACAGGTTTTCTGCACGTCAAACTCTACGCTTCCTTCGCTCCGAGCAAAGCCTAAACCGCCCAGCCACTCCTCCCATTCTCGGAAAAAACAGCGCCCAAACAGACAGTGTCCTCCGCTTAGGGTTTAGGGGTTCGGGGTTTAGGGTTGGAAGGACTACAAAGCTGAAGACTACTTCCACAACTTCAAGACCATTGGTAGCATGGCTCCGGCTGGCAGTGAGGCAGACGGAACACGCCTTTGAAGGTTTAGAGACTAGGGTTCAGAGTTCTATAAGTTTAGTCTTTAGGGTTTAGGGTTTAGGGTTTAGGGTTTAGGGTTAATAGTAGATCTTTGGGTTGAGGGTTTAGGGGTTTATTATCCTTTACCATCAGACGGAGCACTTAGCCGTCCAAGGTTCGGATAGTGGGTATTTAGGGGTACAGTAGAGGGTAGTCTGGGGGTCTGGCTCAAGTTCTATGGCTTCGTAGGGCTTTGGGTTGAGGGGGCATGGCTAACATGCGTCGAGAGGGTCCAGAGCCCAAACAGCAACTGTACTTGTGCTCTTGAAGGTACTCTCCCACATATTAAATGAATGGGCTGGGTTTTCCCAATTTCTGTTTATGTGGCCGTTTTTGGTCCTTTCAAGGCAGCTGTCATCCGGCTCCGAAGCATGAAGGTCAAAAGCTGCAAACCGCAGCAGACCTAAACATCTGAACACCGAAGCCAACCCCAGAATGCCACAACCGAACACATCTCAAAGCTACGCCAAATTCCTACCCCCCCTAAACCCGAAACTTCCCAAGACCCTCTCCTTCTTGCCTGTGGCTTCCGACTGCCTTGAACAGTCTGGCGTGACGGCGCCGCTGAAGTTGAACTTGAGCTTGAACCTGCGCCTGGGTCATCTTTATAATGGGGCTATAAGGGTAGGGTTTATAAACCCTAAACCCTAAGAGTGTAGGATTTGGGGTTTGGGGCTTCGGATCATGAGGCGAAGGGTTTGAGGTGTAGGCTTTTGCGTTTGGGGTTTAAGGATCGTTAGGGTTCAGGGTATAGGGTTTAGGGTTTAAGGATCATGTAAGGTTAGGTGTGTTTAAGAACGAGCTTCTGTAGGTTTCCTACATGCGGCTTTGCAACAGCTCAAGGACTTCTGTTTGAAAGCCTAGGGATCTGAAGAGTCGTTGTCGATATAATGATTCCTTAAGGGGTTTAGTGGGTTTAGGGTTTGGGGTTACATGGTTCCTTAAGGGGGTTTAGTGGGTTCAGGGTTTGGGGTTACATGGTTCCTTAAGCAGGTTTAGTGGGTTTAGGGTTTGGGGTTTAGGATAGTACCTTCGACGCAAAAGCCTAATTCGAAACCCTAAGCCGTAAGCCTTGTTCAACTTATTGCACAGGAAGGCGGGATCAAACTCATCCTTCATGCCCCTTCGCAGTCGACATGTACAGAGGTTTTAGAGTTTAGATTTTAGGTGTCGGGTGTTGGGTTAGGGTTCAGGGTTTCGGGTTTCGGGTGCCGTAGTTTGACCCGTGACGAAGGGCTGAAGAAGCTTATTGGTTCTTGCTCCTGCACCCCAAGAAGCTACTGACGCTGGTGCTCTGAGGAAGTATTGTTATGACAACACTCAAGACTCAAGGGATCAGCAAAAGCATTATTGTCGCATGGTTTCTAAGGGCGTTTAAGCCAAGTTCAGGATTCCAAGCCTAGCACATCTCAGCGTGTAGAGACCCTAAACCCTAAACCCTAGACCCTAAACCCTAAACCCCATACCCTAAACCCTAAACCCTAAACCCTAAACCCTAACCCGAGGAATCGAAGTAAAGCAGCGTGAGGTTTGTTCGACTCTGATTGTCGGAGCTTGGCCCAGAGCCTAAAATCACCCCCCCACTACACTAAACCCTAGGTCTAGGCTTTAGGGTTTAGGGTTTTAGGGTTTAGGGTGTAGGGTTTAGGTTAAACTTTAAACCTAAACCCTAAACCCTAAAACCGAAGCCCTAAACCCGAAACCCTCTTCTAGACCTCCATGTTGGGGTTTCTTTCGGGCCCAGGAAGGCCTTCAATCATAGCTCGGAGGGTCCAAGTACCCAAATAGCAGGGTTTTAGGTCCCAAAACCCTAAGGGTCCAAGTACCTAGTAATCATACACTCTTCTGAGTACTAACCTACAAAACTACTATCCGTAACCCAAGTACATGATTATCAGGTCCTTTGGACCCTCAGGGAAATCCATACTCTGAAAGGTTTTGGGACCTTGAAACCATGCTAGTTGGCTACCTCGTTCCCTTGGGGTAGTGCAACCAGTGCACCAGATTCAGCAATCGAGTGTGGCGTCTCAGGAGAATGCTGCCTCGACCCGGACACTGAAGAAGTGCGACTCTTCAACAGCTTCCGATCTGGAAGCTCTAGCAGAGAGTGCAATGATTCATACCGGTGCCATTCCGGATGAGCTGAGCTTCATGTACCAGGAGAAACGGGCGATGTACAAGAAGACAATCAACACCTTGCACTGGCACCGTGCGTCGTACAAGCTGAAGACGCCACTTCTGTTTACGAACGAGAGTCCCTTCAACGAACAGAAGGTCCCTGGAAAAGTGTTCAGGGCAAGTGGCTATGGTTGATGTTGAAATTCAGTGGTCCATAAACCATGCCCCTTGTGCCCTGCTAGGGCTCGCGGAAAACACTAGCAACAGCCTCCACTGCTCCGGCGACCCTCAAACCTACATCCTAAGTTTCCTAGGTAGTATTGGGGAAACCCCTTAGAGGGGACCCTTCGTAACCTTACTTCTGGCTCTCTTAAATAGAGTATCTATATCCTCAAGGGTCCCCCCAATCCAAACTCCTAAACAAACCCTAAACCCTAATTAAACCCTAAACTCCCGAACCCTACAAAGCCTGAACCCACAAGCCACCCTACATTCAAGGGTCCGCCTAATCCTAACTCCTTCAGTTGAGGCAGAACATCACCTTCAAGCCCTTAAACTTGAAGCCGCTGGCATCGTTGCACCTGGACGATGGCTGGGACGACTGGGGCGACGACTACGACTACGACGACTACCTCTACGGGTGCCTTGGACCATAAAATTGTGACCTCTTCAGGTATCCTTGTTATGTTTTCCTTGGAAATCCTTGGAGAGGTCGTTTGGTGTATGGGTGACCTGGACCCTAAAGAATCAACCCCTTTTAGGGTTGCTTATTATGCTTTCCTTAGATAAAGGTCTTAGAATTGCAGCTTGTTTAACGTCTGGGTGTGGGCTCAGTTCCACCTGCCTTCAGCAGCTGCGAGGATTCTATAAGGGTTGTGCAATATAGGGGCCTCAATAATTACCAATACTGTTTTGGGGGCTCCTTATCATAATTATAGTATCATGGGACCCAGAACCCTACTCTAATTATTAAGGCCCCTGCAGTAAGAGTGTTAAGGCGTGTGTTCATTGTTTGCAGTATCTGGCTGTGTGCCTTCACCAGCCCTTTAAAAGCCCGAAGCTAGCCTCAGTCCTGTAATCCCTGCACTATCCTAGGTAGGCCTTTGGGACATGTTGAAGGTCCCCTTTTTGGGCCTAATGGTATCTTCTTTACGAATATGTGTGACAGGCTTCTATAAAGGGCCAACCTAGTATGCTATTGTTTTGGGGTAACCCTAAACCCTAAACCCTAAACCCATTGTTTTGGGGTTAGGGTTTTAGGGTTTAGGGTAGGCCTGAAGAGGTCCGTGACGCTGGCTTCGCCCTCGGAAGATACTCTCCCGAAGAATTTTAGGGTTTAGGGTTTAGGGTTTAGGGCATTTGATGACGAAACCGTGTCAAGGTTGGGCTTAGGATTGGGGATTAGGGCTTCGGAATTGCAGCGCTTACGGTTCGGCTCTGGATCTTACGTCTGCCGGTTGGGCTCTCCGTCTCCAAAAAACCCAATACCCCTCAATCAAGGAATATACCTTAAATTTTAGGGTCCTTAACCTTATGATTTAAGGTATACCCCTTAATTCAGGAATATACCTTGAATTATAGGGTCCTTAATGTTATGATTGAAGGCATATTCCTTAACTAAGGGGTATTGGGCTCTCCGTCTCAAGGCGCTGCCAGACCCGCCAAAAAATCCGAGGCACTCGTACCAAAAGCCAGCAGAAACCAGCTTGTCCCTGGCATCGAAAACCGGATCCTTCAATCCGACTTGAAGGATCATGGGACTTAGTAAAGTAGCTGTTATGGCTATAAACAAGGTAGCTATAGCTAGCATTACTTCTATCTCCAATTGGGGAACCTTACGTACAAAGTCCCATGCTCCTCCAAGTACATTCAATTTCGGGCTAGAGGCTTAAGCCCCCAAAACCCTGAACCACATTCCCTAAATCCAGCTTTGGGTGGGCGGCTGGCAAAAGGAAGCTCGAAGATTGACTTCAAAAGCCTTAATATGTCCTCTTTATAGTCCCTTTACAAGTATCGGGGGTTTAGGGCCCTTAGATGTTCCCAGAAAACCCAATACCCCTTAATTAAGGAATATGCCTTAAGTCATCAGCTTAAGGACCCTGTAGTTTAAGGTATATTCCAAAATTAGGGGCTATTGGGTTCTCTGGGTTGCCTCTTCTTGTATGGGGCTCTTCCTCGCGTGCATTGCACCATAAGGCTCCCCCACGCAGCCACTCAGGTCCAACCGCAAAGAGAAGGAGCGGCGACCCCAAAGAGTCTTACGGTTTAGGGTTTAGGGTTTAGGGTTTAGGGTTTACGGTTGATGAGATACGCCATTCATTTCCCATAGTAAGTAATTTACCATACTTCCCATAGTTTAGAGTCCGTAAGGTAATGCAGGATTTATATCATCAACAGTAGGCACCGTTATGGGGGATACTTCCCCAAACCATAATAAGGATTCGTAATATGGAAACCCTACATTCCACTATATAGGTACTTTGGAGGCTTTGGGGTGGGACGATCGGAGACTTGGGGGTTCATTGTCCCAAAGGGTCCGAAGATCTGTCTAGCAGGGCGTAGGGTTTCTATATGTAACAGTTGCTATTTTGCATTGGGGAAGTGCCCCCTTAAACAGTACCCAGGACCCTTTGGGTGTTTGGGTTTTTGGATTCTGGCTCCTTGCGTTGATGGATTTAAACCCTAAGTCCCAAACCCAAGACCCTCACCAAAAAGTAAAAATAAAACCCTAAACCCTGGTAGCATCTTTGTCGAATTCGACGTTCAACCCAACTTACAGTGACTACAAGAGCAGGTATAGCTAGTATAGCTTCCAAACTGTCAATCTGATATTGCTTCCTGTCACCCCGTTGAGACTAGAACATAGGCAACTCAACCGATCTGCAGCACCCTTTTGAACTCATCATTTTGGTGTATCCTTATTAACACCGAATAGAGAGGATGCTAACAACTCAATTTCCCGCTTTCCCGCCCCCCACCCACCCCTAAACCCTAAACCCTAAACCCTAAACCCCTAAACCCCTGAACCCTAAAGCCTAAACCCTAAATCCCCCCCCTGATTTCCTGCTGCAAACGGCTCTGATCTTGTTGCGCAGGAGGCAAACAGAAGCCGCTCCTGGCCAGACTGCGTTAGGCTGGGCCGGGATGACTGGGTAATATAGGGGCCTGAAGGCTCACGAATACTGTTCCTTGTTTAGGGTTTAGGGTTTAGGGTCCCCTAAACCCTAAACCCTGCTCTGCTGGGGGTTCCACATTATCATGATGCATTTGAACCAAGACCCTATTCTAACTACGTTTGCATATCAGATCCATCGCGGCCTAACCCCGAAGCCCCTAAACCCTAAACCCTAAACGGGATTACAACCCACATCCCGGAGGTCCCAAGAGAAAGTCTGAGAAGGGCACCTGCATGAAGCCCGTATCGAGTTACAAGTTGCCGATATGATTCCTTTGGGTTCCTTGTTATAGTTATAGTAAAAAGGAGCCCAAGACCTTATTCTAATCATAAAGGCCTCTACGTTAGGTAGTTGTTTCATTCAAGATAATGAACGTACGTGGCTGAAGGCATGACTAGAAAAGGAGCCCAGTAGCAGTACTTAGCTGCGGTTTGTGTCTTGTGTGCTTATTTTATCGTAACCTTTTCGTAACCATTATTTTTTTAGACCTTAAAACAGCCCTATGCTTCTTTCCATGCCACCGTGCTTCAAAACTTCATTTGCGGCGTGAAGAAGGTTTAGGGGGTTAGGATTCAGCGTATAGGTGTTTGGGCCAGTGTTTGGGGTTTATAAGCCTTTGCTTTTCGCTCGGTGGGCTCTTTCTGGAAGAAGCTCCGGGTTCTGACACCCTTTTCATGCAGAGAGCTGTGGATTGAATTCGAGCCTGGTTTGGTGTTACGACTTTACCGGGCTGCTTCCTTTTAGTTTCCGGTATGACTGGGTGCATGCAAATATACACTTCATAGATGTGGGTCTCTGCTACAAGAAAGATTTAGTAGTAGACTAGGCCAGCGTTATCCGTTTTGGGGCATTATAAACCCTAAACCCTAAACCCTATTGTAATACCAAAGGTTAGCCTCTAAGTCCCTCGGGATACCGGACAAGTAAGAGGACGTTTTCCATCGCTAGGCGCAACACCATGGTGAACGGGCACGACATCGGGGAGGCTCTGATGGAGGCCTCGGTTGAGGGCGTCCGGAACTCTTTTGAGACTTTATTGATTAATGTAATAGAAGCCTAACTAATTAATTACCAATCTTGTTCCTTAGGGTTCCTTGTTATAATCTTACTATAAAGGAGCCCAAAACCCTATTCTAATCATCAAGCCCCTACAGCATTAGAGGGTTGAAAAGGGCTTTTGGTAGGAGCTTCAACCCTAGCCCCAAGACATGGATGCTTATTCAGAACTACGGTTGCTGATATATATGCTGCGTTACCCAGAATATGCAATAGTTCTCACAGTTCAGGATCCTTAAGGTAATGCAGGATTTAGATCATTAGCAGTATGTTACTTCATTCCTTTTGACAGAGTAGCACCCCTGAGGCTACCTTCAGGATGGGTCTTTAACTGGTGATTAACGGGGTCATAGAGGTCTGAACATGTAGTCGTAGTATGCCCGTATCCATATTCTCCCCATTTATCTACACCATACCCCAAGACCTATTCGCATCAGAACTGCTCCAACTACTGAAAGCTTAAATCTAAGTTCGTACTTACTCTGAACTGGCATCCTAAACACTTCAACAATATCGGCATATGGAGGTTGAACGACAAACCCTGCTTCGTTGGGGCTTCTGTGAAAGTTGTGTTTCTTTGTGACCTGCCTAGGCCCGAAGTATGGTCCGTCAGATTTTGACGTGACGGGCTAAGGAGTAAAGTCTGCATTTTGTCGGCCTCTATAGACTTTTTTCGACATCCGAAAAGGCTTCCTAGTTCCCCTAAGCTGTCAACCCTAAGCCCTACAGCCCTAATACGTACCGAAGACAGTATCCTGAAACCACAACACCTTCCCCAGAGGACTTGACGAAGTTCGGTGCCAAGGCCCCGCAGAGACTGCCAGCCGGTGTGTGTCTATGCCCTTTCGCAACGAAAAGGATCCTTTTTACAAGGGCCCCAAATACACGGTTTATGAACCCTAAACCCTAAACCCATGTAGGGTTNNTTAGGGTTTTGGCTTTTGGGCTTAGGGTTTAGGGTTTAGGGTTTGGGGTCCGAATGATTACAACTCTTGCCGGGTGATCTTCTAGTGTGGCTCGTTCGTTTGAAGTCGTTCCCTGCTCAGGGTTCTGGGTAGGTAGACAGATGGATAGATGGATAGGTAGATAGTCACACATGTAGACAGGTAGACAGATGTATATTGCTGGAATCGACGCCGGCAAACCAATCAAAAAGGGGATCCGGAGCCTTAACCCTTACCCTAGATAGCAGTGGGGAACAGAGCCCTGAGTTCTTGAGGATTTAGGGGGGCTTGGAGATTAGGGGTTTAGGGTCGAGACGAAATCCAAGTAGTCACTTCTAGACAAGCCCGGAAACAAGCTTCGAGTAGTAAGGCTACGCCTTTATCCCTAAACCCCTAGCCCCTAAACCCTTGAAGGCAAGTATTCTGAGTTTCGTGGAAAGGCATGCTTCATAGCCCGGAGCACCACAGCGACAGCTGTGCACTTAGAGTGATCGAGATAAGAGGCCATGCCAGCAAATAAGCTAAATGCACAGAACGCGGCGATGATGGCAGAAACATTGGTCGGTGTACTTGTAGGAGAAGCAGCGGCAGTAGTGGTCGTTGATATGGTCGTCGTCGTGGTGGTGGTGGTGGTGGTGGCGGTGGTGGTAATATAGGGGGCTTAAGGGTTACAATAGGGTTTGGGGGATGTAATCCTAGAATTACAACAAGGAACCCCCCAAACCCTATTCAGAATATGAAGGCCCCTACATTAGTAGCAGCAGCAGCTCAGACCCTGTCAACAGGATGGCTGCTGGAAGGACAACTGTGTCGCGGCATCCATTTCAGATTTGTACTTAGACTAGGGGCTTAAATGGAGTTCCGGAAGTGCTTTAATCAGAGTTCCGGAAGTGCTTAAATGGAGTTGCGGAGCTTTTTAATTATGAGCGCTGTCTGCCGAATTAAAAGACAAGCCACTGGAAAAATTCGCGGTCCCCAAAAACGAGGGCACAGAGCCTTTTCACCCAAAACCCTAAACCCTAAACCCTGAACCCTAAACGAAACCCTAAACCCTAAAGCCTTATAACCCTAAAGCCATGTCATTCAACGACGCAGCTGGGATTCGGCTGTTGGCAAGCTTCAGCCCATTGATCTAGGACATGTCCAGGTGGGTAGTTACCGTTATAGGAGCCTTATGGATCGTCTATATAGCTTTTGGAAGCCTTATAGAAGCCCTATATACCCTAAAATCCCCACCTGCAGTTTCCTAAACCCTAAACCCTAAGCCCTAAACCCTAAACTCCCCACCGTAGTTTCCTCTAAATCGAACAAATACCAATCTCTGAGGGTCCATGTAATAAGGGGCCCGAAAAGTTGCTTTTACTTGTTGGGGGTTTAGGGTTTAGGGTTTAGGGTTTAGGGTTTAGGGTTTAGGGTTTAGGGTTTAGGGTTTAAGGTTTTTAGTGTTTAGGGTTTAGGGCTTAGGGGTTTAGGGGTTTAGGGGTTTAGGGTCTAGGGTTTCTTCATTTTGCTTACGGTATAATGTGCCCCAAAACCCTATTCTCAAGGCCCCTGCCCACATTACCCAAACAGAACTTTGGCCCCAAAAGTGCCCTATATAGGGACTACTTTGAGGCCAAAGCATATGCTATTTGGGCACCTGGAGCCTTCTGGGTGCTGCTTCCTTATCACCGTGACAGTATATTTTCCCCCTGCATACCCTTTAGGGTTTAGGGCCTTTAGGGTTTAGGGTTTAGGGTTTAGGGTTTAGGGTTTAGGGCCCTAATGCCTCATTCCAGTTAGTATTCAGGCCACTTTATTCGGCTTCCCGACTCGAGCTTAGGATCGATGTAAGTTAGTTATTGGAGTTGCTTCCGGTCGAGGATGTGTGGTGGGTCCTAAACCCTAACCGTTGACTGTGTGGGTAAGGCTTCGTCGAGTGCAGTTAGTGTTTTCCCTCACGCTTTACTGCCGTAGATGCGGAGTCGAGTTTGCAAGTCCACACTCGTAAATGCGATATTAAGGAAGCCTAGACAATTATCACTTATCCCTTCGCGTTGCCCACTGTAATTTTGCGATAATTACAGACCCATACTAACTACAATAAGGACCCCTACATTAGGCCTGCAACCCGGAGCACACAAGCTCCGAACGAGAGGATTCCAGAAAAGCACCCGAAACAAAAAAAACAACACCCAAAACCCTACAGCTGAAGCCTCAAACCCTATGTTCCAGGTAGCCACACTGACAAGTTCAACAGCGACACCATGGAACACTGTGCTCAAGTTTGCGACAAGGCTCTTATGTTAAGGGTTTAAGGTCTCTGACTTGTAACTAAGATGGGAGGGGCCGCCAGTGTACTTTAGATGACCGATTGCGGTCCCCCTCCATTTAATAGGGATTCATGCCCTTAAAGCAAAGGCTAGGGGTCTACGGCTGTGAGTTCAGGGTTGAAGGATCACTACCACGACTTCTTTCAGGCCCGAGACCCTGCCGCAGGTTGCCCGCTGCTCCTGGTGGACTTGGGGTATCGAGGAGTTCGCGGCGACGTGCTGGCTGCGAACGGGCAAGCGCTACCACACAAAACGCCCCTGTGTGAGATTTGTCAGAAGTTCAGGTTTAGGGCTTAGGCTTTATAGGGAACCTTAAGCCTAAAAACTCGAATCTCAATTCCGCAGATGCGAATACACACCGTTCGATCCACTCCTTCGAGTGTAGTTTGTGCTGTCACAACGAAAGTCTGACGTCAAGGCATCCGCCCAACAAAATCAGAAAAGAAAAGTCGCCGTAGCCTAAGAACCCCACCACCTCTGCCCTGCATGAACAACTACCAGAGTCCGCTACAATCGACCGCTCCAAACTCTGTTCAGAGCCCTCTACCCAAAACAACACCCAAATCACTGAAAAACTCCTAAACACTCTTTATCATGTGTATTTCAACCTTATCGCGTGCATTCGTGGAATATACGTGTGTTTTCGTCCAAATGTTTTTTGCCAAATGCCGCGAACAAATTGCCAAATTCCGCGGCCTAGGTTCAGGGTTTGGTTCAGGGCCTTGGGGTCGCCTAGGGTTTAGGGTTGGGGCTTAGGGCCCAGGGGTCAGGGCTTACGGCCTGGGGCTCAGGGTTTAGGGTTCAGGGCCTGGGGTCAGGACTTGGGGCCTAGGGTTCAGGGTTCAGGGTTTTTCGGGTTTAGGGTTTAGGGTTCGGGGCCGAGGGTTCGTATCATAGGGTTTAAGGCTTAAGGTAAATTCTGGGGTTGTATCATATAAATTAGGTTTCTGGTTTCCGGATGCAGGTTTTAGAACTTAGGGTCTAAGCTCTAGGATGAATGAAAAATGTGGTTTCTCAATGTTGGCGATTTCTGGGTGGGTGGGCATTTTTCTAGGTTCGACATAGCGAGCTCGACTAGAGACTGCTCGAACCCGAGCTGCTGAACCCTAAGCCCTACCAATAGTCTCCATTGTAGTTCCGTTGTTGGTGTTGTAGGATCCTAACCATAAATTTGGTTAACCGATAGAAAGGAACTACAATGAAGACTCTAGGTATACCCTAAACCTTAAACCCTAAACCCTTAAGCTCTAAACCCCAAGCCCTAAAAGCTCTAAACCCTAAGCCCCTAAACCCACCGAAGGCTATGGCTTCTCTTCTGGCAGCAGAAACTGCACGGCTGCACTGAAGGTGATCCGAAGGGGCTGTCTCGGGCGTTTGACTAGGTTTTTGGGGTTTCGGGTTTAGGGTT